GATAATCTTAACGTTAACCGATACAGATCTAGTATTTTCAAAATCATCATCTGTGGGATTCGAACTCTAGACCTGCCACTTGGGGGTGCAGCAACCCACCACTTCACTAGGTCACCACACCCTTTTCAGCACAGTTTTTATATAACATATATTTTAAAATTTTACTCAAATTTTAATTGAAGATATCTCGGAAACTAATCAATCAAATTTGATGAAAATTTTTTTATTTGAATTCTACAAATCCTTAGAATTTGAATAAAAAAAATTTGATTGAATTTGATCGATTAGTTGCTAAGATATCTTCAAAGTTTAAAAATTTTGTAAATAATTATATGATAAAATCAAAAAGATTTACATAACCATGGTGCGAATAGCAAAAATCCATGGTGCAAATAGTACAGTCAGGCATTTTTCTAAATTCAAAGATCACTTCTAGAATAATCTATAGTCACGCTTGACATGTGATTGGTGTTTGATAATCTTTTTTTAAAGAGAATTTGTGACATTCTATTGTTTTAAAGGTCAAATCTATCTATCGAAATACATATTTTCCAATATGTAGATTCAGAATCCGCGAGGATCCTAATGCCTTAATAAATTAGTTTTTTCTTAAATTAAGTTTAAAATTACATATATTTTATAGATTAATTAACATGAATCTGAAACCTGAGGCCAAAGATCTGCCCTGTATATTCACCTCTTTTGCTAAATTCTATTCAACAAGTGACTTATTAAAACATATAGGGAAGTGTAAGCCAGAAGAGCTGCAACATTGGTGAAATGTGTCAGCTAGTGTATCAGTTAAAAAATTATCAGAAATTGCTAAGTATTTTTCTGAAATTACTTTATTTCTTGACTCTTTAGATTGTTATTCTATGTGTGAATAGCACTACAACAATATTGTTGCCAAATCTTCTTTTATTAATAAATTAAAAAAAGCAACTAATTTAATTTCTTCACATTCAAAAGAATTAAAAAGAAAAAAAGTAAAACTTTCTAATGACAAAGAACCTTTCAAGGATTTTGGGTCCCATGTATCTTTTCTGGATCCAATATATGAAATTCTTCAAAAAAGAATTGATGAGTTAGAAAGCTTAAATAGTCAATTGTTAATTGAAAATGAAGCATTAAAAAAAAAGCTAAATGAGAAATTTACTAACCAACAAGATCACATCTTTTCTGTAATAGAAATTGCAAAAAAAGAACAAAGCAATTTATACAACGATATTCTAAACTTAATGAAAGACCAGAAGCAGTTTAGTTTAGATAGTCTTTTAAAGTTTTCTACTTCCAAATAGCTTGCTAAACAGAATCCGGTTATTGTAAAATTTATAGAAACTCTAACATATAATGAAAATGAACATAAACCTGAAGAAGAAAAGCTTTTTAAGTGTGCGGTAGCCATTGATGCTATATATGGATCACGGCACTTAAAATATGTATCTGCAATTAATTTGGCCGCTTCAGCAGTTAAGTATTCATTAGCTAGATCAAAAATGATTATTGATATTGATAACTATATTATTAGTTCTGGTAGTTATTCTAAGTTTACTAATTGGTTAGAAAGTCTGGCCATAGAACCACTACCACTTCCTGAAGGTCTTTTATTTTTAGCCTTTGACAATAAGCAAAAGGGTCAAAAAAACTATTTAGATCAAAGACATAATACAGGCATATTTCATACTGTTATGAGCTTTGTTGTTTTTAATTACGATCAAAGCAACAATATTCAAACTACAGACCCTTGGCTATGTTCTAAACCTATTCAAAAACAATATGAGGAATTATTTTACTTAACATTGGGTATGAAAGACGAAATTTATGAAGAACTTACTAACTTTCTTTCAGTTATTTTAGAGGAACTTCTTTTTGAGAAAAATCAGAAAACAAATATGATTGATGACTTGGTAAACTCTCAAAGCCGGATGAGAAGTATGAAAAAATACACTTTTTGTCAAGCCTCTGATATCGATAATAGGAAACGGGTTTGTCCAAATTGTCATAATAAATTGCCTACGATTAGTGAGATGAATCAACAATCTAATGAACTACCTACTATCAAAAATATTACTGACAAGTCTCTAGTTATCTGTCCTTATAGATTTAAAGAATCAGATGCACAAAGATCGTTCCCAGAAGTTTACAAGCCACAAGTAATTGTTCCTGATCTGATAGGAATTAATCCCAATTCGATCGCTAATGTTCAGAAAGTTCTTAAGCACATTGAAGAAATATCCGGAGTTAAAGAAAATAAGTGTAAATGGATTGTAGTTATGTGTGATGGAGTACCATATTATCATATACTAAAAATGAAAAAGGATTTTCCTTGGCTTATATTAATTCCAGGTGCCCTTCATAAAGAAATGAATATGCTAAAAGCATTCGTTGAGTTAAATTAGGATATTGACATGAGAGATTTTGCTTATTGTCAAGAGTAGCGAACCAAAAATCGACTTCGGTTCTTCAAAAAATATTCGAATCATCATAAGTCATGGAATTCAGTATGCAATATATATAGGCATGCAATGGCATCCGAATTGATGTGACCATATATCCTTCATGAAAAGGATCCTTCTGTCGAAGGTTATTTAAAATGGGCCCAAGAACAAACTAATCCCATGTATAAGTTAAAGTATAAACAAATTTTTCTTTATTTGCAAGCAATTATTAACTTTCATACTAGAGCTCGTTTTAATAGGTCTTTACTAAGACTTGTGGCTAGAAGAATGTTTGTACCTATTTGGTCTGCTCGATGATATCCAATTTATCGATTAATCGAGATTTATGATGAAGAGCAAATATTACGATTAAAGCCTGAAGTTTTTAATTTAATCCAAGAAAGAATCGTAACCTCACAATCGAAACTTCCAAATCAACATCAAGGCCACGATACAATACTTGAAGAAATTAATAGAGCACTTAAATCATTAATTCCCCCGATACCTTCACAATGACATTGGGAAATTGCAGCCGTAATTGTACTAAGTTTTTGAAATTGCGTACTAATCTTTTTAATCTAATAGAATATTCTAAAAGTGATACCCAAGAACCTCGAACACGTCCTAGTTTTACTATTGAATCAAGTCGCTATCAGGCTCAAATAAGAAAACCCCAATTCGTAAATCTGAAATCTAATAATTGTATTTTTCAAAATATAAGTGGAGAGTGGAAAATAAGTGAAGAGATAAAACGATTTAGTGAAATTGCAATATGAAAAGAATTGAATTTATAAAAGCTAAACTAATTAACAAAACAGCATTAAATATTTGGCATCCAATACCAATAACATGTGAAGAGGCGGATCATCAAAAGAATGAAAGCTCTTTAAAAAAGTCAGAAATCTTATCCATTATTAACTCTTTAATTTCTTCTTTAGATAATTCTGATCATTCACATTTCCGAAGTTTATTGAATAAATCCTGTAATGACTTAATAAATATTCTTCAAGAGATTAGAAGTGTATTGGCCGAAAATAACATTAATATTGATAGTGAAGAATAAAATGGGTGGAGGCTTTGGTTAATATTTGTAATTATAATTCTCCAAAATGTATTTATAATAAAATTTAAATATCATCAAAAATTATCAATAAAAGTTTATTTTATTTATTACAAATTTTTTATTACATCTTTATTACATAATTTTTGTTACATTTCTATTACA